TATATCACACTGTGTATGCCGTGCAGTGTTTGTTGCGTCGTCGTGCTTTCTCCGTCGTCGAAAACATCACGCCACAATTTCTGGCGTCTTTCCAGTGCTGCCAAGCCATCGTGACACACAACGGGAGTAGGAAGAACGGAAGCCAATGGGGGATCGGTGAGAAGGACATTGCAAGACAGTGGCTAAGAGCTCTGTCAAGACAAAATCCCCGAAATTGGTCGTTTTTGTCTCAGTGTGCTTGCCGTTTGTCGGGTAAAGACAGAACTCTGATTTTACGGAGACAGCTGTCGACGTCATCGCGTGATGCCCTGCCCCGTTCGTTCCTTCCTGTCTCGACAGACTTGGGACCTTGGCAGAGAGAACAGGCAAGAGCAAACGACAACAAAAGGTCCTGTGACCAGTTGACTCACCCTGGATGGAGATCAGAGCCTCCAAGAACGAGCGGAGGGATGGGAAGAAACAAAACAAACAAAACATCGTCGCCGTTCCAGCTCGCCATTCTGTCAATTCTAGCAGCTTCTAGTCCTGTGGACCCGGACGGAGCTGTTCTATTCTAGTTACTCTCTCGTTACTCAGCTTTGCTGCTGCTGCAATCGCAGCCTGCGGTGGGGCCCGTGGGCGGCAGCAGTAGTGCCTGCCTCTGTTCTACCGGGTGGGACTGACGAGCGCCCTGCGCGTGATCGCGTGCTGTGTATCTGAAAGTGGAGAGGGACCCGTTTTGTGGGATGAAGAAGCAACGACGTAACAGGACGTCGTTCTCTGTAGGGACAACCCTGAGATATGACTGCCACACGGCGTCAGCCCTGCCCTCTCAACACCTTTGTTCCTGAATTGACTTTTTGCAGTTGAGAATCCAGCGTCAAGCTTGCCAGCTAGCAAGGAACAGTTAAGGGGTGCAAGAGGACAGAAAGGGGAAAAGCCGAGAGGTGGGAGAGTGGGGGGATAGTGGGAGAAGAGGAGAATGGCCGAGAATGGGTAGTGTGGCCACGGGAAGACGTGGGATTCAACTTGACCGTCATCCAGTCTCTTGGCCGCCTGGCTTCTGGGCCACGATTGCCTCAGCGAACGATACGTACGATATGGATGAGACAGGACGAACAGAAATAGGGAGATAGCATGTCCATGTCCTCATAACTGGCGCAGGCGAAAAGGTCACTTGGCCGGACTAAACTGGAGGAAAGCCAAAAAGAACCAAGTTACAATACAATGGATAAATCACCTCAGAGGGCAAAAGGACGGTAATGCTGAGACGGCGTCTGGCATCGTCCTTCTTTGTTCTTTGTGATCACTGTGATCACTGTGATCACTGCTCACGAGGGCAGTTTACGGTGGGTTTGAGAAAGGCCCGCACGGCAGCGGTGGAATGGATGCTCTGGTGGTAATGTTCTTCTGGAAACAGCGAGAAGAGAAGGACACGTACGACGATTACAGCGCTACAAACGCCATGCACTGCCCTGTAAATTACCGTTGACCTTTGCCTGCGCAGGAATGCCCACAGCCAGGACCCACATTTACCAGAGAACAGCCAAAGGATCCACTCTCTCTCAGACGACGCTAGCAAGGGCCAGTTTTGCGGGGTATTGCATGGGTGGCGCATGGTGCATGGTGACTGTTTGGTTTTGTGAGCACCTTCGTCGGGCCACCCTTCTCTGTCTCCGCCTCTCACTCCAACGCTTTTATCCTCTCATTTCGTCTCCCACCTGTCTCATTTACCCTCCTCCGGTGCCATCTCCGAGAATGTCAGCCCCCTCTACAGCATACTCCGTACGTTTGGCACTTGTCGGGGTGCAGGAAGAATCTCCCGGTTGCAGATTTTGATCAACGAGGTAAGAGGCAGGAGCGGTCGGAACGAAAGAGCTAGAGTGGGTCGGCTGATGTCACAGAACGGACAGGACAGCGACATTTATGGGTCCTTTCTGAGAAACGAGAGCAGGAAGACACTCTCGACACTGTTTCTGCTCGCCACCGTCATCTGCTTAGTGTTTGTCAACTGTGTACAATTGCAAGATATCAAATGGATTTGTGGATGTAGAATGCAAGGCCCATGGAAAACAAAGACATTGACAAACGTCTGTCGACAGGCACAGGATCAGCTCCGAGAAAGAGTTCTAAGGACATTTACGCGGGAGCGTACCGTACGAACATTGGTGCATGTCACTGGGCTTGCTTGCAGGCATCAGAGGGAAGTGCATTCCATTCGGAGGCCACACACCATTCGCCGATCGCGTGAGATGACGAATAACGAGGAACGGGCAAGACAGAATCTACGAGAAAATGACAAGGTGGGGGATAGGGAGAGGAGAACAGAGAGAGGAGGCAGAGAGCCAAGGTGGGAAGGCGGTAACCTCTTGGAAGTTTTGTTGGGGAAAAGGTGAGCGAGTGACCGGATAGCAAACAAACGACGAGGATCTGGCTCGAGGCGTGGGAAAAGAATCACACTAGTCGCCTACATGGCGAGTACACCGTCCGCTCTGTTTCGCCGGTCATATTGTGTGTACGAAATACTGGCAAAGGCGTAGCAGGGGGGTGCACGAATGTGTCAATCGTGCTTTCCCGCCCCTGGTTGCGTCAGGTCACGCGACTGTGATTCGGGGTCGTCCCAATGGGAGACGTCACCGCGGCGTAGCTCGCCTGACCTTGTGTGGGGTGGGGAAACAGGAGAGCAATGGGAAAGAACGACAGGAGAAAGAAAGGGAAGGAGCGACACTGGAGCTCTTGGAAGCAAACGGAATGGCGGCTGGTTGAACAGACCAAGGCAGTAGGGGCCAGGAAGGGATTGCCGTCTGAGTGGCCTGTTCGTGAGGTTGCTTCCTTCCCCCATCTACTCTTTCCTCTGCACACCCTCCTTTTCTTCTGCTCGCCTGCCTCACTGTACCTTCCCCGATTCCACCATCACTTTAAAAGAGACCATCCCGTCCACACTCTACATCTCCCATTTCCTTCTCCTCTCCCTCTGCATCTCTGCTTCACACCATCACAAACCACGCAACAACCAAAGACATCTGAACAACGTCAGCTTGCAGGAGCTCTCCAACACAGCCAACCACACTCTTCGCTCTCGCTCTGCTACTCTATCGCTCCCCCTTTCTCTCGCTACGTCTTATCACGTAAACCGCTCATCTTGTAATCCAACCAACCATCCATCCATCCATCTTCTACTTCTGCCATCGAGCCAGCACGTAGCTCAACCGCCGAGGCCAATCACAATCGTCTCCGCCCACGCTTTCTTTTCTAAACTCATTGGACTGTCGGCCTGGACTACCCACTTGTCACTGCACATCCGCGTCGTCCTTTGTTCCTCGCCTCGTCTCTGCTTAGTCGACTTTCGAAAGCCTTCTAGTTGTATCCCTTGTCTCGTTTCTCTTCGCTGCTACTGTTGTCTCGTCTTCCATGCACATTCGCCCTATTGCCCTTGGCTTTTATTCAAACGTTTGACAATTCTCCTATCTACCTTCGTCATCTCTATTAACATCCCGTCTCTTATCACGCAAACGCTCCAGCCGGTTCATCTATCAACCATCTACGAGCGTCACGAGTGTATCACTTGGCAACGTATTAAGCACCGTTTTTTTATCAACTTCGCCAACAGTAAGTTTTATCTACTCCTTGGCTGTATCGCGGTATTTTGCCCGTCGATTGCCTCTGCTTTGTCAGACTAGCCCTTGGCGGACATCGGAAGTACATCCACAATCCCCTTTGCCTATCATTCTCTGCTCAGCACTGGACCTCTTGGTGCGTCTCAGTTGTTCAACACATTTCGGATCCTACATTATTTAGATGACCCCGCACTACATCGTCGTTTATAAGGGCGTCGTCCCCCTAACACATCTCACAGGAACTTCCCTGGTGTTTCATCTTTCTTTTTTCCTTCCCTTCTACCTTTCCATTCCACATTCCATCCTTCAACAGTCAGTATTTCATGCATCCATCTCCGGGTTGTCTCTGCATTCATCATAGTGTGATGTTTGTTTCGGTGCTGTGGATATTTTGATATATATATGTATATATGTATATATATACACATATACGTATCAAATGCTATTTGTCTAGAGCAACTTCTAACAGCATGCAGTGACTCGCTCTCACAAGTTCAACGACCGTCCGCGTGGCGACATGGCCGATGCCTACTCGCCTGACGACAACATGCCCAAGTTCTTTGCCAAGAACGGGTTTGCCGACGCCGACCCCAAGAAGACCAAGAAGAACGGCAATGGCAAGGGCAACTGGGGCAGCATGGGCGACGAGGTCAATGACCAGTCTTTCAACTTTGCCAACCCTCGCCGCCGCTCCAACAGCAGCTCCATGACCACCGACATCAAAAACTTCAAGACCAAGTTTGACGTCAACGAGCCCGAGCCCGTCTTCGAGGAGGGCATCCACGGTCCCCTCGAGGACGACGAGGACATGCTCCGTTCCATGGACTCGAACTCGACCGAGGGCTCAGAGGACATGAAGAACTAGGCAGACTGTATCGCTATTTTTCCAGCATGATGGGCATATGAGCACGTTTACGCGAAATGGCCTTGTCGTCGTTCTTTCTTCATTCCTTTCTGTCTCAACATTTTTATTTTCCACGCCCGCTTTTGTCTGCACAGCCATTTCTCATGTCATCATGGCCTTATCTTTCTTTTGCTTCTTATTTTCCCTCTTCTTGTGTACGGAATTATGGGAAATTTGCATGTGTATGTATGATTCGACTTTCATTGGTTTGGAACGGGACGGACGGTTTTATCGGTGCGGTGACAACGAAACGCTTAACGAAACGCAACTTACGGCGACGCGAATGTATAACACTTGACGATATATTGCGCGGCTCGCAGCATATAACGAAACATTACTATTATCTCTATTCTGTTCGCATTGCGCTAGACGACGGGGCTCTGCCTCTCGCTCTGGCCATGCGATCCAGGTGTACCATATAATTAGCTAGCAACGAAAACAAAACAAACATGCTCATAGGATCATTCATATTCAATTATCGTGACTGTCTTGAAAATCCATCAACCACGCAAGGCGACGTCCCAGGAAATGTCCTTGGCAAACGCGGTCGTACGTGAGAACGCCCCAACGGCCCGCGCAGCGGGTTTTGTGCCGTAGCCCTCGATCTTAATAGAGCCGATCCGCAGACAGGCGTGTCCATTGTCCAGGTCTGTGCGATCCACGCCCACGGGCACGACAATGCTCTCCCCGTCTACAACAAAGGGGAGCGTCACATGCTGTTGCTGTTGCTGTTGCTGCTGCTGTTCTTGTTGTCCGGCCGCATCTTGCACAAACGTCAGCGTCTTCACGCCGTCACCTGGCCATTCGCCGCCCTGGCCTGCTACCAAAGCAGTCCGCAACGCTTCGCGGAGAGCAGTCGGACACGATACGAGGTCCATGTTGTCGAGGATGGCCCGCTTGCGTTGACCGCTAGGAGTGCTGGACGACGACGGTCGCGTCTCCAAGTGTGTCCACAGGGCACCCAACGCCCTCGCTCGGCGGTCAATGTCGGCGGATGTCGTTTGGGTCGCGGTCACCGCGTTCACCGCGTTCACCGCGTTCACCGCGTTCACCGCGCTCACCGCCGGCACGTGACGCCACACCACCTGCCGGTCGACCTTGCTCAGTTTCGGCGCGGCTGCGGGAGGGAATGGCGGGGTGTACGTGACCGGCGTCTCCGACGCACGCTCGGGCAGGTAGAGACCCCTCTGCAGCACGTCGCTCAACAAGTGCGCGCCAATGGGGGCCAGCTTCTCGTGCAGGTCGGCCGCCGTCACGCGGCCTGGGAGGGCGATGCCAAGGGGGTGCTCGGCATTGACCTTGTTGTGGCCCTCGACGGGGCCCTGCAGCAGCCGCCGTCCGCCGTCAAAGGTCGTTTCGTGCAGCGTCTGCACGGTCACGCCCGTGCGCGTCCGGCCCAGCAGCACCGCGTGCTCGATCGGGGCGGCGCCGTGCAGGTCGGGCAGCAGCGACGGGTGCACGTTCAGGCCACCGAAGCGCGCAGCGCGCAGCAACCGCGGAGGCACAAACAGGCCAAACGAGACGGCCACGACAAGGTTGATGCCGCGACCGGACGCGGCAGGCGGCGGCGTCCAGCCGGTAAACGTGTCGCGCTCGTGGATGGGGAGGCCCAGCTGCGTGGCCAGAACTTTGACGGGGCCTGCTTAGTGGTCAGCGGCAAAAGATGCAAACCGTCGGTTCATTTTTTTTCCTCGGTCCATCCGTGGACGCGGGCACATACTGTCTACGGCCTGCTTCATCCCACGGCCACTCCGCTTGGCGGGGCGGACGACGACATCAAGAGAAGCAATGCGGCCGGGCCGGTCGGGAGACACAGCCATTCCGTCGGTCTTTTGCTGCAGCATGACATCGTGGAGCGCCTGCAGGGACGCGCAGCTAAAGGCGTCGGAGCCGCAGAAGAGAATCCGGAGCGGCTCGTGATATGGCGTGTCTGAGAACTGTCGGATAAGGCGCGAGCTGCTGGTCGAAGGAGCTCGCCTGGTCAGGAGCAAGGGAGACACAGCCGGCTTAATTGGTATAAATTTGGACGTGTATGCCAGAGGCCGCCATAAGGAGGGCCCGGCAGCCATATTTGTCAATTTCTTAGCCTGGGTGGTCGTGGGACGCACCGGCCATTTGGGAGCTGACGTCGGACGTAGTGTGCTTTCTTCTGCGCACCCAAAATAGCAAATATCACCAGGCAAAATGTCGTGCAAGGCATGAGGGTCCACTTTGATTGGCCGTGGCGTATTCTGTACTACAACTCCACTCCACTTACAGCCTCGCCGGCAGCAAAATTGCGCAACGAACAGATCAATCACAACGTGCAATGTCTTTCATTTAATCGTCTTTTGTCACATTCAGAAACATCATTAAGCTCATGCGTCTCGTAGTTCCTCGTGCAAGCACCAGTCGCTGGCAACGATCCACAATTGACCAGCCAGAGGGATTTCCCATGCCGGATGGGATATGGACACAACAGTCTGTTTTGGTGGTTCTGAATCCCCTGAGGGGCCGTCAGATATATCGTTCATACCGTCCACAGCGCTGTGTTCAGCTTTCAGGTCTGTCGTCCACGGTCTTCCCGCACCGGCCAACAATAGCCGTGCAAGTGGCATTGCCTCTGCAGTTTCTGTCTCGTATCTTTTCGAAGCGGGTTTCTGTAGCCGACGGCCGACGGCAAGGCGCACCATCCCAGGCATCTGCCGTGTCTCGTCAACAACAAATCGACCCAGGCCGCCTGCAGCCGTAGGCATCGATGTCGCCGTGTGCATCCCACCATCACTTTTGACTTGCAGCAGCCAGTCTCGCAGCGAAGCTGCCAGTCCACCAGGCACATACTGTTCGGGGGCCGTAATGGCCGCGGCAGCCGTAGCACTCGGGCTCGCCAGCCCATCCAGGCCGTCCATTTCGTCGTCGTTGCTGTGCCGGCTGTGCCGAGGCCGCTTCTGCTTCCGGCGGCGCTTCTGCTGGGGCGAGAAAAAGTCGGGCAGCGGCTGGTGGAGAACTGCATCGTAATAGTGCTGCTGCCGAGCGGGTGTCGTCAAGTCTTGGTCAGACGTGTGTTCGCCACCGGATTTTGTGGATTCACCGTCAGGCAGGCTCTCGCCCTCGGCATCCGCATCGTCCCCAGCCTGATCGGTTGACTTTCGTGTCATGAACAGCCTGGCCCGTTGAAATGTAGGCAGGCGCTGTCTTTGACTTTGCAGTCGTTTCTGCTCTTGTTGCTGCTGGTGCTCTTGTTCCTGTTCCTGTTCCTGTTCCTTTTCTTGCTGCCTCTGTCTTGCACGACGGATGCGCGGCGGTGTTTGGTCTAATATCATGTCCTCGTCGTAGTCGTTCTCTCGTCGGTCCTCATCATGGTCGTCGTCCATCATAGCGTCGTCCTCGTAATTGTCGCTATTTTCGTTGTCTACTTTGTTCGTGGCATGGCCATGACCATCGTCATCGGACGAGTCCGCATACTCGAGCAGCGCGCCATAGTCGACAATGTCTCTTATCTCTTCGTTGCCGTATCGTCCTCCATCATCGCCACTGCCGCTGCTACTCTCCGCGTCCACAATGTCGTCGCCGTCCCAGCCGTGGCGTAGCTTGTTTCCCGTCTTGATTTTGAATAAAGGGACAAACAAAGGACGGCCATCATTTCTCGCTTCGTGGCTGTCGTTCACGTCCACGTCCACGTCCACGTCCACGTCCACATCCCCACCTCCGCCTCCGCTTTCACCGTCGTCTTGATCAGATCCTGCAATCGGTGGCGAGCTCGTAATCAGGCCCGGCGACACAAACAGGCGCCGCCGTTTCAAGGGCTGTATCGACGACAAGAGACGCGCCGCCGATGTTTTTTGCTCTGCGAGTGGCGGTCGACCGGGAGGCACAGATGTGGCGGCGCTTCGTGGGGTCGTGTTGGCCGCAAAACCCGCACTCTCCCCGCTGTTGTCCTCGCCCTGGCTGGCACCCTCGCCCTCGCTTCCCGAATGGCTCCTGCTGGGTGCCACATCTTCAATCTCGTCCTCCAGTTCCAAACGCTGCTTCCGCCGCCGAGCACCAGCGGAGACTGAGAAAATCCCTGGCCGTGGTAGGTGCAGTGGTTGCGCAAGCTGTTTCGTCCGCGCTGCCGTCGGTGATTCCCGGACAACCAATAATGGCCCATCGTCTCCCTCATCAAGGCGCCGCTGTGGCATCTGTGGCGTCTGTGGTGTCTGCGGCGGTCCTTGTATGGGGGAGCTGCCGTCCTCAATCGCATCGCCGCCGCCCTCAAACGGATCTTGGTGGTTGCGGTTCTGCAGCAGCAAGGGCGCATGACTGTGGAACCGCCGGCCGACCACACTAGCACTTCTCGTGTGTGATCGATTCTGCCACGACGGCGCAAACCGCGGAGTCGGCCGCGCCGTCGCACCGCTGGCAGGTGTGAAGCCTGCATCAGTCCCGCCTTTGCTGCCGCTGCGCTTGGACTCGGGCAATCGAAAGCGAGAGGCATCCGGTGTCTTGATGCCGAGCGTTGTCAGTTTGTCTAGTTGTTCTAGTTCCCAGCTCGAGCACACCTCCTGGGACGAACATACAGAAAACGGCGCCGACAGTGAGGCCCGCGAGGCCGCCGGTGGTTGAGGCAGAGGCATGGCCCTGTATCTGCACAAGCCGATTTTATCTAAATATTGTATCCATTGATCATCCAATGCCACGGTGGGTGTGCAGTCATAGTGGTGGCCTCGCGTGTTGAGGAAAAGACGCGCTATTTGCGTTGACGCGTTAAGTGGTGTCGGATTTAGCAGACGACAAGTTGCCATTTTAGGTCAGCATCCCCCGTGACACAAGGCTGCCACCACCACAGATTAGTATGCCAATCCAGACTCAACCGCCGGACGTCTACTCCCTGCCGCACTCGCACTTTATTCTTCATGGTCCGCAAAATTGTAAATAATTTGTCTATCATGCTGTAGTCATGCTGCCGAATTCCCTAATATGCCAGTCAAAGCAGGTATGTAATGTCACCCTCCCTATTGCATTCCCTTAATCCAATGCAACCCAACGCGCCCTTTTGCAAGTCAATCAGCCCCGGTTCAGCGTGTTGCCTGCGCCCCTGGGGTTCGCCTCCGTGAATTCGTCCCAGGCACGCTGCTTCATCGTCTCGGCGTCGGCCTTGTCATAGTTGTCCTCGTCTGGCACCGGCGGGATGCCGCTGCTGGGCCCGCCGCCCTCAATGATGCCGCCGCGCTTGCGCTCTTCTTCAAGGTACTCGTCGATGGACATGGTCGGCAGGTTGTGGCCCGGGCGGAACACGTTCTTGGCCATCTCGGCACGGCTGCCCAGGATGGTAAAGGGCTGCTTGGGCTTGCCGTCCTTGGACAACAAGGGACCGCTGCCGCCCGGGTTGACGGAGCCAGCCCACGTGGGCGAACCGGCCAGGGCGCTTTGGAGGCGGCGCAGCACGGGCGTGGAGCCCATGTTGCGGAGGTCGTCGACGCGGGTGAGGTCACCGCCACCCATGTCGGTGGCCCCAGCCGGTCGCTGCCGGTTGTCGCCGAGCCCGCCCGCCGACGGGCCATGGCTGCCGTGTGGCATCAGCGGAACAGGTGCTTTGGCCAAAATGTCGTCCTCCACATTGATGCCCTCCAAGCCCTGGAAGGCCATGTGTGCACTGTAGAAGAGTGCCGCGAGGTGAAGCTTGCGGGCCTCCTCTTCGTCGTCGTCGTCGTCATCATCGTCGTCGTCGTCGCCGTCATCCTCTTCATCATCCTCGTCGTGGACGCCCGCTTCCGCGTTCAAGCTTGAGCTACCCTCCACCGGCGCCTCGCCCGTCTTGTCCTCGCTGCCGTCGACAACCCGCAGCCGCTGCCGCCGCCGCCGCGACAACTCCCGCCGCTGCTGCTGCCGCTGCCGTAGCACGTCCAGCTTGTCTCGCAGCTCCTTTTCCGCGCGGAACGCGGCAATCTTGGCGTTGCGTCGCGCCGCCGGGTCGGCCAGGCCAGCCAACCCACTCCCCGCTCCGCCGCTCGAGGCAGTCGACGTCCCGATCCCACCCATCGGGCCCAGTGTGCTAAAGTGCGTGGGGTCCTCCGTGTACGCCTGCAGCAGCCGCGCGTACGGCGTCGTCAGCAAGCCGTACCCATCCAGGTGGTGCAGGAAGCGTTCGTAGGCCTCGCGGGCCTGCTTCAGCACGGCACGGCGTTCGGTGGGGCCCGGCTGGGCGGTAGGCAGCTTGAGAGACAGCTCGGCGATGCGGTAGGGCACCAGCAGGTAGGGCAGGTGGGCGGTCGAAATGTCCTCGACGGACTCGTTGGTACTGAAGAGGGCCAGCTCCTGGACGCGGCGGCCGCACTCGACGTAGGACGCGAGGGCTTCGCGGACGGCCTCGCCATAGGACAGAGGCGTTCCGGCGCTGTCGTTGCCGTTTCGCGAGGCCAGACCGGCGCCGCCTGGGTGAAAGGCGCCGCGCTCAATGGCGTCGCGCAGACGCTCGGCTGCAAGGTACGTCGCCTTGGCCGAGCGCGGCTCGCGCTGTTGTGGCTCTGTCGAGCTCATTCTGTGTCGTGTTATTGGATCCTGGATTTGTCTTCGTCCCTCTCAATGCGGAGAGGCCAGCGCCGGGATCAGGATTTGTGTTCGACCTTTTGTATACGACGATCGGTCTTGCTCGTCTCGATTATCGTAACTCCTAAACGTTCGTGACGGTAGCGTCTGAACTGCGCGCGTGGTCTTGTCGTCGACGGCTGGAACTGAAGCTGTTGCCAGCAAAGAGCTAACAATAATTTCGGGCCTGTTCGTCTTTGTCAGCTAGTTGGGTCTCTGGCGGCAATCAATGATTTGGTCCCATAAGGCCCCTCTACTGGCCAATGACGTATGGCGGGGAAAGGGGCAAGACAAGTCCCCTAAAAGCATGTCGTGTTAATATGGAGCAATAGGGGAGGCACAAGGCGCTCACAGCGCACCAGTGGCCGCCCTGGCCGCCTAACGGGATCCAGAAATTTGGCTTTAGTGCGGTGGTTGAAAAGGAAGGTGCTCTCGTGTTGAGGTATTACGTGTGGAAAGGGTCACGAGCGACAAAACCTCGGCTTAGGTATCTTAAAGGCAGAGGATCTTGCCGTACGAATTACAGCGCCCTTTCAGCGCCCCGTAGGGTCTCAGGTGTGTCAGTACCAGCCCGTAGGCCACGTAAGACCAGGAAAACCCTTGGAGCCACAGCACACTTGTCAGCGCTGTCCAGCCGTTCGTACGGCACTCTGACTCTCGGTATTAGCAAATGTGCCCCTTTTACAGCCCCGTAAATTAGTCTCCAACTTTTTACTCAGTAATTAGCAGCCTTTTTTTTCTCCTTTATTCTCGTTTTGCTGAATCGAGGCGCGAATAGGCAAAAGGTCTCAATTGTACACGGTAAATACCATCATGGCCAGAAACCATAAAAGAAGCGAAATGGCACCAAAAACGCAAATTTTGCCTCTTCCTCTCTTGCTCTCTTTTTTTTCGTTTCTTTGTTGACATGGTGGAAAAAAGCCAAAAGACAACAATTGCGCAGACAAATTGTTATTTATTTATGTTTTATTTTATTTTATTTACTTTCCATACAGTCACTCGCTCCTTCCACCACCAAGCATCACCACAGTTGCATGTGACTACGGCCACCCAATTATCGTGGCAGTGACCCGTCACGATAGTCATTGAAGCTGCCAGTCTCACAAACACATCCCCACCACAATTGACTCCTCCACTTGACAATGGCGGCGTTCTCGTCGGCCCTGGCTCCGAGCGTGCGCTCCGCGGCCACCATGCTGCCCGGCACCTTCCTCCGCCAGTCGGTCCGGCCTGTCTCCTGCCGTCTCTCGGCCCCACTTTTGTCTTCTCCGTTGTCACCTTCTGCTTCGTCTCCCCTGTCGCCCATGTCTCCTTTCCTCTCTTCCTCCACCACACACGTTCGCTATAGCTCTCACTCACCCCTGGGCACGGCACAAGCCAACCCGCGCAAAAAGGTCACCGTCGGCACGTTGCGCTCGCTCTACGCCAAGAACGAGCCCATCGCTGTCATCACCGCTCATGACTTCCCCTCGGCCCTCGCCGCCGACCAGAGCGGCATGGACATGATCCTTGTGGGCGACAGCCTCGCCATGGTCGCGCTCGGCATGGAGGACACCAGCGAGGTGCTCGTCGAGGAGATGCTGCTGCACTGCCGCTCCGTGGCCCGCGCCACCAAGTCGGCCTTTGTCGTCGGCGACCTGCCCATGGGCTCGTACGAGATTGGGCCCGAGCAGGCGCTCGCCACCGCCATCCAATTCGTCAAGGAGGGCCGCGTGCAGGCCGTCAAGCTCGAGGGCGGCCGCGAGATGGCCGCCACCGTCCACAAGATCACCTCCGCCGGCATCCCCGTCCTGGGTCACGTCGGCCTGACGCCGCAGCGCCAGAACGCCCTGGGCGGCTTCAAGGTGCAGGGCAAGACCGCCGGCGGCGCGCTGCGCGTGCTCGAGGACGCCCTGGCCGTGCAGGACGCCGGCGCCTTTGCCGTCGTGCTGGAGGCCGTCCCCGCCGAGATTGCGGCCATCGTGACGGACAAGCTCGACATCCCGACCATTGGCATTGGTGCCGGCAGCGCATGCTCTGGCCAGGTCCTCGTGCAGGTCGACATGACCGGCAACTTCCCGCCCGGCCGCTTCCTGCCCAAGTTTGTCAAAAAGTACGGCGACGTCTGGGCCGAGGCTTCGCGAGCGATCGAGGCCTACCGCGCCGACGTCAAGAGCCGCGCCTACCCGGCCACCGAGCACACGTACCCGATACCGCAGGATGAGCTCGACATGTTTGCCAATGCTGTCGAACAGAGCACTCATTTGCATAAGCAGAAGCAGCCGTTCTAGGCAGTGAAACAGAGAAGAGGGGTTTGCCGGCCGGGGAAACGGGAGTCGGAGGGTTGTGTATAGCGTTGCCATTTCCATCGTCTCGTACGAGGTCACAGTCTTCCATATTGAGCATTGCATTGTGTCGCATTGGCGTGGCGTTGTTTTCGTCTAGTTTAGCTCTTTCCGCCCTTTTTCACATCTGTTTAGAATGCTTATAGCACATATTGGTGATTTTATGCTTGTCTGTATTGCAGAATCGAATTCGAGGTGTAGGTGGGGGCATAGACAATCGTCGTCTTCGTGGTTATATCATCGTATGATCGTATTATCGTCGTATTATCGTCGCGCTCGTCGTCGCGCTTGTTTCTTCACCCAAATGCCGGTGTCAGCGAATATGACACGTTCAGCTGGTCGTGCGAGTCCTTGAAGCACTGCAGCACAGTGTTAGTTGTTTGAGAGGCATCTGGTGTTCCAGCTCCAAGGCACCGCATCATACCTGGTGTAGATTGCCCACCACTTCGTCCAGGGCCGGCGCAAACGCCGAGTTGACGTACAAGAAGACGCTCTCTGACTCCTTGACCCGCAATGCCCGCCGTACAAACGCCACCACCACCTCGAACTTTTGTGTCGAGCTGATCTTGCGGCGCACGTCGGCCACCGCCCCGCCGCCGGCACCACCGCCAGACAGTGGCGGCGCCGACCCCACCGGCTTGAAGCGCACAACGACCTTGTCCTTGGCGAAGCGGCCGGCCGTGGCCAGCGCAGCCGTGGCATCGCGGGGGAGATTGAGCAGCACCGTGGAGGCGGTCATCGTGAGAGGGATGTCCTGGCTGTCCGGGTGGCCGTAGTCGTCGTCATCCTCCTGCTCGTCCGCCGCGCCGTCACCACTCGTGAACACACCCTCTTCATCGGACGGTGCGAGTGGCGCGGGTGAAGCGGGAGACAAAGGAGATGGGGAGGCCAAGGGCGATGGCGATGCTGGCGACGAGGCAGCAGCAGCAGCAGCAGCTGCGGCCGCGGCCGCCGGCGGGAGTCGACTGCTCTCCCGCACCGGCGGTGGTGGTGATTGTGAGGGCGGTGGCATGTTTATGTGTTTTGCGGCTTCCGGCTTGCGTGTTTCTCTTCGTGCGGCACAGGCCGTAACTCCGCAAAGATGTACGCGAAGGCTTGTTGTTGAGAGTGAGAGAAGAAGTTGAAGTCAGGAAGTCAGTCGCACAAGGCAACATCAATCGAACTGGTGTGGACCCCTGCTGAAGAGCTCCACGTGCGGGGCTAAATGGCCTGTTTCTGCTCGCTGCTTTCAATGCGCTAAGTGCTCAATCTACGTCCCAAATACTATACGCTAAGACCACTCTCCCGCCTACTGTTAATATCATGTTTTACAAGCTACAGTCTTGACTCTATCATCTAGGCTCGTTTGTTATGGCGTGAGACAATTGACATAGACGTTTTCATTAGTCTTTCCAAGAGGCTACCTGTGCCTACTTCAGCGGGATGAGATATGTTTTGTGTCTAAATAGAAAAATCATCGAACGACTAGGGGACTCTTCCGAACAAAGCAAAAATAACATAATAAAAGGAAAAAGACAAAGCAAACGAGGGAAAACGCCCTGGATTATGCCATGGTAAACACCTTCCCGTGATCACTTCTTGGATTTGTGTAGAAGTGAACGGAGAGACAAAAACAAGACAAAAAACGCTCAAGTCCAACGAGGACATGCATTACAAAAATGATGAGAGATAGACGGACAAAAAGACCAGCTGCAGAACGAGTAAACGATCCAGATAATGCAAGTATGCTCCGTAAACCAGAAAAGAAAAACAAATGATTCGCATACCGCAGCCAATTTTCTTTCCTTTTTCTTTTCTATTCGCGAATTCCTGGGATTCCTGTTGGCACATAAAAAAACGAGGGGAAGTAAAGCGTATAAGAGAGACAAAGGAGAAAGTGAGTGTTCGTAAAGGTGGGCCAAGAGAGAGAAGACGGAGATGGGTTTGAACGGTTTAATCCTTCTTCGGCGCACTGTCAGACCGGCCACGCTCGACGGCTGTCTCAGTGGTATCGTTCGTGTTGTTCGTCACAGTTGTGTGAGACGTCGAATGTGTACCATCCGTGCCATCCGTGTTGTCGTGCAGAAGATGTGCGGTACTCGACTCCCGGGTCGGTGTCTGCGAGGCACCGTTCGGGGCAGGAGACGGTGACGCAGCACGGCCAGTGTAGGACGAGCCAAAGTCCACGTTAGCGGTGGTACTGTTGCTCGCGCCGTTGTTGTTATGGTTATTGTTGTCGCTGTTGTTGTTGGTATGCTGACCGTACATACTAGAGCTGCTGTTGCTGCGATCGATTGGAGACCAGCCAACTGCCACACTGCCGGCAATGATGCCTGCCATGACGGTTGGTGCACCAAGAGCCGAGTTGGACCGCGAGCGCATCGAGCGCATCGAGCGCGACCGTCTGCGCGAGTCAGGCGAGGCCGAGGGCGTCATGAGGGTGGCACCGAGTCCACCCGCCAGGCCGTGGCCGTTGGTTGAGCCGAAGCTATCTTCGCGCGTTGGCGTATGCGGCCGAGGACTGGTAGACATGTTGAACGAGTTCGAGCGGGAATTGGGCAGCGAGTGCGAATTGGACCGGGAGTTGGAACGAGAGTGAGACGGGGACAGGGACGCGGGCAGGGCGAAGGTCTCGCGCGGGTGCTGGATGGCAAACTTGAGGTTGTTAAGGCGGCCACCCTTGAGGCGCTTGAGCCAGGCCAGCTCATCACGGACATCGGCCAGGGCCACGGGATAAAAGTCAAAGCGCTCGTCGTGCGTGTAGGGGTCGGACACGGTAACATCAGGCACCTGCTCGTTCTTCTTCTTGCGGTTGGCAAACCACCGCTTGGCAAATGCGGGCACCAGCTTCTCGAACCATGCGTCAGGAATCAACCGAATCAGAGCACCAATGGGAATCGAAATGAACCCGAAACCGACAGCGTAGCCCCACATGGTAGGCGACTGGCCTTCCGAGGCAATGTTGAACGCCAGGCCACCGACCTGGACAATGAGGACCTGACCGCCAACCATGATGACGCTGATGCCAATAAAGAACCAGTTCTGCGTGAGGCCCTCGACGATGTTGAACTTGTTGTCGAGGCGGCGGTTGTTCCACTGGTTGAAGATCTGCATCCAGACAAACGTGTTGAACACGAGGGTTTGCACCTGAGCGTCAGTGGCATGCTCTCGCTGAGGCAAGACCTTCTGGCCGCCAAAGAAGAGCAGGAACGTTATGGCCAGCTGGTAAAGGGCCTGGCCAATAATCATCTTCCACATGGTCGTCGAGATAATGGAGGCACCCTTGCGCTCGGGCAAGCGGTCCAAGACACTCGGTTGCGGGGGGTCAGTGGCCAGGGCCAGCGCGGCGAGGGTGTCCATGATCAGGTTGACCCACAGCAGCTGCACGGCAGTAAGCACGCTGCTCTCGTCCGTGCTCGACACGGCCGACACAAACGTGAGCACGACAGCCGTCACGTTGACAGTGAGCTGGAACTGCAGGAACCGCTTGACAGCATCGTTGACGGCACGGCCCCACTTCAAGGCCTTGACAATCGAGGCAAAGTTGTCGTCCATGAGAATGATAGCAGACGCTTCCTTGGCGACCTCGGTTCCAGAGATGCCCATGGAGAAACCGACATCCGCCAGCTTGAGAGCGGGCGCATCGTTGGTGCCGTCACCAGTCACCGCAACCGTCTCGTTCTGCTCCTTCAGGCGCTGTACAAGCACACGCTTGTCCTCGGGACTGGACCGTGCCAGAACGTGAAGCCGGGGGATAATTGAAAGCTGCTCCTCCTTGGTCATGTTGCGGAAGACGGGACCTTCCATGACTTCGCTGTCGTCCTGCAGAATGCCGCAGTCCCGGGCAATGGCCTGAGCCGTTAGGCGGTTGTCACCCGTGACCATACGAACGACGACGCCGGCACGTTGGCAATCGGCAACGGCGTCACGCACACCGTCGCGGAGCGGGTCCTTGATGCCGACGAGGCTGATAAAACCCATGTTCTTGAAAACATCCTCAAACACGACGTCGTCATTGGCGCCCTCGTTACGGCGAGCGTAGGCCGGAGGCCACTGGTGGAAGTCGCGGTAAACCAGGCTGATGCAGCGCAGCGAGTGCGAGGCGTAGTTCTCGATGAGCGAGGAGAGCGAGTCACGGTTTTCGTCGGTCATCGGGGAGAGGGCAACGTCGCGCGTAGGGTCGCGCAGGATCTGGGTGCACTGCGATAGTAGAATCTCGGATGCACCCTTCACAAAAAGACGTGCGCCGCGACCGTTCGGCAGCTCCACCACGACACCACTGCACTTGCGGCCGGAATCAAAGGGAATCAGCTGCAGCGTCTTGGGAGCGTTAGCCCGCTCCTCGCTCACAGGGCCCATGGCGAGGTGGTCACGCGCAAAACTAAGCAGGGCAGACTCGGTCTTGGAGCCAATATACTCAGGCTTGCCGTGGACCTCACCCTCAAAGGCCGTGGAGTTGATGGTGATCGACTTGAGCAGTATGTCGCGAACGTCTTTGCCAAGGCCGGAAATCGCCTCCTGGGCCGTGAGCTCGCGATGCTCGGCGGCGCTGTTGGAAGCCACCGTCGTGTCTTTGGCTTTGTTGTTGTCCCCGCCAGAAGAGCTGGGGCTTCCGACGCCATCGACGTCAGCGAGGCCCTGCTCGCCAAACCGTTGGCCAGTACCGACAGTGCCGGCAACCACGCGCATGCGGTTCTGTGTGAGCGTGCCCGTCTTGTCGGAGCAGATTGTTGTTGCGTTGCCCATAACCTCGCAAGCCTTGAGCTGACGCACCAGGTTGTTCTCTTTGACCATCTTGGCGGTTGCGTAACTGAGAGCGAGTGTCACGGCGAGTGGAAGACCTTCGGGGACGGCGACGACAATGATCGTGACGACGACAATGAAAATGTTGAGGAAATCTTGGCCCTTCTGGGCGGGCGTGACGGATGGGGGCAGCTTCGGGAGGCGGACGAGGAACTCGATGAAGAGAACAACAAACAGCAAGAGCGCCGCAGCACCACCAAGCTTCGCAATATAGTCGGCAATGACGTTGAGCTTTGCCTGCAGAGGGGTGATCTCGGGGTCGTCCTGGAGGGACATCATCGTCTTGCCGTAGGTGGAGTTGACGCCGGTGGCGGTAACCATAAAGGTGCCGAGGCCTTCCATGACACGGGCGCCGGACTGGATGAATGGATCCATCTTCTTCAGATCCTCGTGGCTCTCGATAGCAGCGTAGACTTCGTCGGCGGGGCGCTTGCGAATCAGGTCGGATTCGCCCGTCGCTTGTGATTCGTCGCATTTGATGCTGTGGCCTTCGATGAGCACACCGTCCACGGGAATCATGTCGCCCGTCTCGAGGTGGACGACGTCACCGACCAGAATTTCCCAAATCGAAATCTCTTGCAGGCGGCCAGAACGGACCACCTTGACCAGGCGATCAGTCTTCTTCCGGTTCAGCTTGGCGAACTGCCGCTCCTTTTGCCAGTCGTTGAGGGATCCGACGATAACGACAATCAGGATCGCAACAATGATAGCCACGCCCTCGATCCACTCAACAGCCGGGTGCTCTGCATCATGCTCCTGGCCAAAGGTCTGGTACAGACCAACGGCCAGTGACACGACGGCGGCGATGGACAGCATAATAAGAATCTTGTCGTTGAAGGTAATCCAGATCAGCTGCAACAGCGACTTGGCCTTCTTTTCTGGCAGACGGTTGTCTTTGTAGACGCGCTTCCGGTCGAAAAAGCCCTCATCTTTACGGTCTTGACGGCCACCTGCTGCGGCAGAAGCAGACTGCCCTTGGCTGCCCACAACGGCACTCCCGTGGCCGGACACAGCCTTTCCGTGGTCCTTTGCTGCTACTGCGCTGTCAAAAGAGATGGCACCGTCGAGTGAGGTTTCTTCAACACTTAACCCAGCTTTCCGATCAGTGCGCAGGCCCTTTTCGAGGCCCGCCAAACCACCGAGGCTGTAAAAGGCAGACAAGCTCTTTGGGTCGAACATTTTGCTGAGTTGGCCGGGGCTGAAGGCGAACGGGTTGTTGTCGACGTGGAAGGTGGCTTCGGTGCCACGGTCTGGCTTGAGCGCATCGGGGTCGTTCATGACCATGTCGTTGGAGCCATCCACAGACGTCGACCGGGTAACGTGCTGGACGCCACTCGCGGCGCTGCCGATAACGGTTTCGCCCTGCGAGATGGCGACGGATCGGGATCCATCTTCTGAGTCGACCGAGTTCTGGCGCGATCGGTGGGAGTGCGGGACGGCGAGGAAGCCATGGGTGCGGTCGCCGCTTCGCGACATGACAGGGCTCGACACGTTGTGCGGACTTGTTGGACGGCTGTCTCTGCTTTCGAAGGAGGTTGTCGTTTGCAGCTGTGGCCTGCTGCCGCTCGTACTCGCGTTGGAGCTGGTGCTATTTCCTCGTCTTGACGTAGACGCGCCGGGCCCTAATGGCGGATGTTGTGGTGCGAGGGAGTTGTTGTTTGTGGACAGTAATGGTGGTTCGGTGGCAGCCGGGCTGTGTGCTGCGTCGTCCGACACAGATATGGGGGAGTTGGTGTACAGGGGGATGCCGTCTTCCGACATGATGGGATTTGGCGGAGTGCTGACAGCTGTGGTATCTATTGTTATCGTTGGGCTGTCATCGGTGAAGATTGTGTTAGCCTCTTGTCAAGGTCTTGTCAAATTGTGCGGGATGTCGAATTATATAAGATCTAACAAGAAATAAACCTTCAAACGGTTGACCATACATTCGGGACTGTTTCGAAGGGGGAGGGAGGGCAGGAAGGGAAAGGTATATAAAGATCAAAAAGTTGAACTTACGCCCGTGGCCTCCGTAAGGGGCCGTCTGTATCACCGCTCTGCGCCATCTTGTTTTGGAATCGGAACGTGCTCAGCGGTTACCAAGATCTGGGGTACGATCTACAGTTCTGTGCTTCGCCTTCTTTTTGGTGCTGAGGTGCCGGATCGATGTGCTCTTTTATTTCCTTCGCCGATTTTGTGCTGAGTGGTGTGTCAGTGACCAAATGATTTCGTGTCGTTCGCCTTTGCCCGACAGCTCGTTGAATTGCGGTGGTACATCATACTAAGCGCCGGGCTTAGACTTTTAGACTCTTGGGCGGGTATCTTGGCTTAGGGGGAAAGAGGCGAAAAGTACATTCCGCCAGGCCAAACACGGAGGAGGCTATGTTCGGGCGACTTTTTGCTCGGGCGACTGAGCAAACCCCTCAACAAAAATATAACAAAAACAAGAGCAAAAAATCGAAACAAAGGAGAGAAAGAGCACGCTCTCCAAATGTGAGAATGAAACCGCAAAGGAAAATCAAAGGAAAAGATGCACTTACAGAATAAGAAACAAAGCTTCACAATGGTTCTTTGAGGGTGCTGCAAAACAAAGGTCGACGAGAAAGCGGACGTTTCCAAGTTCAAACGAGTGTGCAAAGCAACTCGCTTTTGGAACCGGATAGTCGTCTTGGCTGCGCAATGGATTCGCAGGTGATCGTTCCTTCTTCCTTTATCTTCCTAGCAGGCGACACCTGTTGCCTTGGACCGCACAGCCCGTTGCAGTTGCGGCCTTGTGAGTGGCCAGACCGGGCGCGGAGGCAGGGTGAGAAGGCAACAGAAGGGTCATGGGCGAAAGACGACAAGTGCGAATCGAAGAGAGAAGACAACAAAAGTAAGATGCTGAAGATGCTATCGAAATGGCTGTCGTGGGTGGTGAATGTATGCGGTGCCCGGAAGTTCGTATGCAAAGCCAAGCTGCCGAGAGTAATCGACTCCTGTCGCAAAGTGTACGCCGCAAGGAAGCCGACGCGAGTCTCGATCTTTCGTATGAGCCTCCTTTTCTCACAGCGTGAGCTGAAAAATGAGACGAGGGGAGCTGCTAGCCGGCCCAGTACAGGATCGGGAGAGCAGCGAGGAAACAAAGCGAAGAGAGGAAGAAACAATGAGGGTATTGGAGTATGGAGTGTGCGGTAAAGGAGCGCGACAAGATGGAGAAGTAGAGCAAAGGACAGCGACAGGGGGTTGTGGGAGCAGAGCAGGTCAGATAATACAGAGTGGACACCGAGCGGAAAGGAGCTGTCAGTGGTCTGGGAGTTGTATCGAAAGGCTGAGCAAAGCTGGGCAGGAGGCCGAGCGGGAGTGCTTGTGCACTTTATGTGTGAGCCCTACACTCTTTGCGTTGAGAGCTGGTCAAAGAGAGTCGAGCAAGAGAGAGGGAGGCAAAAAACGGACAACGTCGGGCTCGGCGGGAGACAGCAGCTGATATCTGCCTCGTCCTGTCGTGTGCAGAGTGCTTTGTGTGGATATGGGTTGCAGGTCCTTTGCATGGCCCTCTGGGCGTTTGTGGTTTGGCCTTGTTTGTCCGTCGACGCTTTGGGCCTGGGCAAGCTGCAAGCTGCCAAATTCCTTGTTGTCAAGGTGTATGTTGAGTTGTAAATCGTACTGTGCACGGGAATTGGCACCCAAACAATGAGCGCCAGGGAGAGCGCAAACTGGGGGAGCACCGGAAAGCTTCACTTGGCATTCCAAGAAGCAGGCCAGAAGCATAACAAAGACAGGTCGAGTTCGGCACGAAGACGACGTCCGTCACGTCGGCGGTGTTTATTTGTTGTACTGTGGTAATGCTCGCTAGGACGGAGCGTCATGGGGGTAGACGCAAAAAAGGGGACGGCTAGGGGGGTGCAAACTTTGTTGATGATGGCAAAGAATTTGACGGGGGAGAAAAGAGAGGGAAAGGGGCAATAGAGACGCAAAGCCTGGCCAGAGAACACAAGAGCAAAAGGAAGGCGCGACCAGCACATACGATGTTCACGGAAGGTGCCTCGGTGCGTTCGCGAGTCTTGAGCAACTGCGGGCTGCTGGCCTCACAGCAAGGCAGGAGCAACTGAACAGAACAAACTCCCTGAGCTCGAGTCTTTTACGTCCATTGCCCTGAGGTTTTTCAGGGCACAAATTTCTTTCAATTGTTCTTTCGTTTTTCAGTCACGTCTTTGCTCAACAGGTGTTTGCCAAGAAGTCAATCACGCAGAAATGCAACAACACCAAGAGGCCCCCGAAGGGGGCTGTGCAAGTGGGCGTCGAGCCAATCACAGCGTGCAATATATCAAAATGTGGATATGGGCGTGAAACTAAAGGGTGTGTCGTTATAAGATTTGCAGTCGGTACCCAGAGGGAAGGGTAAGGTGCGAAGAGCGAGCGATTTGCTGGTGCGGATTCCATTTTGTTCTCTGTACAGTCTCGACCGTGCCTTCCTGATTGATCTTTTATCTCTTCATAATGATACGGCGAGTACGGAGTACGACATACAGAGCACAAGTCGCGAAAGGGGGTTGAGGCAGGCGCGTTGGCTGGTTGGATCGGTCGGTACCTTCCCTATTTGAACCTGATTCGATTTTGACAGCCCAATGCAAGGCGGAAGGCGCTTGGGGGAGCCGTCCCACCCACCATCTCGCCTATCGTTCCATGTTGAAAAACTACGAGAGACCGCACTGTTTTATTGTCAAGTTTGCATCTCATGCGTTTGGTCGTCAAAGCATGCTCAAAACGTTGCATCGTTCGACCTGTTTTCATTGACTTTCTCCTCGTTTGGGGATGAAAGCACATGCCTCGCAAGCTTGTCTTTCGAGCTCCCCTTGTCACCATACCAAGCATCACCCAAAGGGTACATGTAAGCTACTGGACGCCATTGCCTGGCCTATGGGATACTACAGCTACCTTCGCGGGTCTGGGCACTGGAGTCGCTAAAGCTTGACGGCACCTAGACCACAGTGCGAACTACAGTGTACATTTAGCAGCATATCTTTTGCTGGCACTGTATATACAACCGCAAAAAACCAGCAGCACCAGATGCAATGCCGTATGATTGGACCTTGTACAGTCTACAATGTATTCATTCTTTGTGTTTTCCATCCAAGCGCTTGCTATATCGGGGACATGCACGGCAGCGTGCATCAGGAAACGTCCCGGGTGCACGCTCCCCCCGGCATGGCAAACAAGTGATTGGCTGTCGATACAAGATGAGACGAGGCGCAGGACAGATGGTGAAAGAGACGTCGAATGGCCGGTCGTCTTAGCCGTTGATTTTTCCAATCGACTTGCTTCTCTGTAAAATATGCTGGCAGCGGTTGGCCTCTTGTGGCGCAAACGGAGAGCCTGCACTACAGCGACACAGTGCACGCGCTGTGCGCTGATACTTGCAGCCATGCGCTGAGAGCTTCAAAGTAGTGGGTCTGGCTGCCTTCGGGCTCCACAGGCCGCTAGACACCCGCAAGCTACGGGTTCTTAACGCTTCTCGCATTTCATGAATAGTCTCGAAGCATTTAGCTGCATTCGGCTCGATTGGCAAATGCTCTGCGTTGTGATTCGCTAGCTGCCTATTGCAAACTCTGCCCCGCGAAGCCAAACAAAGGTCCTGTGTCCACTGAGTCTCTGCCGGCTGCCTCTTTTGTAAGTGTACAGTGGTGTTTTCATGGCCCCAGCTACTCCTGTTCGCCGTCTTCTGTCTCCATGACACCACTATGGCGTCTGCCAAGGCTGCTGAAGGGACAGTGCTGTAATGGAAGCTGGAAGGCTGTGAGTCGGGCAGTGCCAGCCATGGCAGAAGGCAAGGGGAAAGCGACGGCCAAGGAGGCAATTCGCACGTGCCAGACGATCTACATATTCTTCACTTTGGCATCGATGCTCCATGCCGGTCTTCATTTTTACTTGTTTTGCTTTGTTTTCTTGAGAAAGCCTCGCCAACGCGCGGCCTCCTTTTCTTTGGCTGCCGCTGTCTTACCCTTTGCTACATTTTCTCTTGTCTACGGTGTCTCAGCGGATCGGACAAGGCTGTGCATGGAACGGCGCAGGAGGCAACACAGTCAAGCAAGCGTGTGAGGCAAAACGGTGCAAGGAAGCTCGATATCGCCAGCCGGTACATGATTCGTTGAACAATACGAGAAGAGGGCGGCGAAGTAATAGGAGGCTTGACCAGGGACATGGTCACGATGATACGCGACAGACAAGACAACGTAGGACAGACAGCCATTCCAATGGGCAGGGGGCAGCGAGCATCGTGGCATTCGGTTTGTCTCGGACTTGGCGCTGACGAGGCAGCCAGCCAAAGCCATAACCTAAAGTCAGATGAAGGCGTTCTGGAGTTAGCTGAGGAATGCAGCCTGCAAATGTTATTGCAAATGTCACCGCCATTGCCATAGTGACAGCAGATTACAATATCTCAGACATCAATGGCACGGCAGAATATGTCGTAACGACGTAGCCATCCATGCGATACAGCAGTCCCCAGATGAGGTAGTCAGGTAGTTGAGGCAGTCATACGGGTCCTACCCAGAGGTGCGGTGTGTCGCTTTCATGCATGAGGAAGGCACAGTACCGATTCGCAGCTGCTCGCAGGAAGAGAAACGTCACCACGACGAGAGACACAGCAATGACGAAATGGAAGGTCACATAATGAAACAGGAAATTGTCTCGACAAACCAGCTGCCTTGACAGGAAGGTCGAGGCCAATGCTCCGAGGCGAAAGCCAAGAAAGCGTGCACATCTCTTGTCGATTCCGGTTTAGACACTGTCGCACAAACATGCGGAGTATATCGTACCAGTATGTTGTTGGACAAGTAAATTACACTCCATTGAATTGTGTAGGTTTTTCGCCCTTTTTTTCTTGATTATGTCTAGACGACGTAGTACGGAGTACTTGCACGGTTGTCTTGCTTGCCAAATTATGTGTTTATACGGGCGTACAGCATTCTTAGTCATTCACTGGTTGAGGTCTGCCAAGGTCTTGGAAAGCGTGGCATTTCGGCAGTGCAAACCACTTTGTACTCAATAAACTCACGCTAAAAGCTCCCAACCCAAATTCATCGGAGTTGAGACTAGATTTGTCTGTATGTACCGTGGGCGATTGCATTTCGGTGTTGTCGGATAATTTGTGTATATGCGGAAGACTGTTTCGTTTGTGTAAGAGGTCTGAAAGGCAATGGTTTTTCTCTTGAAATTGAAATTTTATTTTAAAAAAAAAATATACATTGACTTTTGACTTTTTTACCAAAAAAAAAAAAAAAAACCTAGTTACAAAATACACACGGATATTTCGTGACAGCATAATTCCATTGATCCGGCATACAATATTATTTGAGAATCAAAAGTGCAACCATGCTATTGATTTAACATGTTTCTTGTTGGAGAAAATACAGACACAGTTATTGAAACCGGGGGTCCGTACGGTAAAAATGCCGCTTTGGGGAGACGGTCAACCCGACCCGAAAACTCTGAAAGTCGCATGATACCATGCACCGGCTGCTCCGTGCCTTTCGACAAACCACCATGCGCCACGAGGACGACAGAGTTTGAAATAAAAACAAAAACAGCAAGGCATGTACACGTGCTCCAATTGCTCACCGAAGCATATGTTGCGCTTTAGGCACCGCGGCCCAACGAAAACCAAAAAGATCCTCAAAAAAGCATCGAATGCGTGGCTGGACCGGTTGGGCAATGACTGGAAAACGGGGGTTTCCCAGTTCGGTTCCTGCAGAAGACGGTTCTGTGCCTGTAAGTGCGGGTGACAGTAGCGGCCGGAGGGAACGCCACCATGTGGCAGTGCAGGCTTTCAGGAACGAAAACGACTACCGAACACGACCACCGAAAACTCTCACGCCACTGACGACTTGACGAGTGGAATAATCACGTGAAACAGGTTGACACCATTCTTCCTGCCGTGGACCTGTTGATGCTGGTTTGGCGTTTTGTCGAACGGTCCCGTCTGATGTCAACCTGGAGAGTGAACCCTTCTGCCGACGGTGTCGCGTGGTGGCTGGGCGGCCGTTCACAAAACGGGACGCAGGGGAGCTCGTGTTCGTCCGCGAAGCGGGAAAAGGGGACGACGTGGGGAAACGATGCACCTGCTTGTTCTAGACGAGTCTGATGTACACTTTACGAGAAGGAAAGGGGAAAAAAGGACTACACATGCATCGGAAAATATACGGCAGGAAATGTGACGGCAAAACGGCGATCGACGCAAGCACAGCCTCCTTGTGCCATCCAGTGTTATCAACATTTTGTAGCGCAACGGGCGTTTGAAAAAAAAAAGACTCTTATATTGCCAAGGAGTCGAACAAAAGGTGACGGCAAAGGCGGGGGAAGGTGAAGAAGGAAGGTGGAAATCAAACATTTGACCAAACGAGATGAGAAAGATGGAGACAATGTGTTCAATATGGGCTGCTGACGGAACCGATGCCAAGTACGAGCATGCGACACGCGCCGTGAACAACCAACACACCCCACCTCTTGATTTCTTCACCTCTTGATAACTTGATAAGTTGATAACTTTGATGTCCTCCTTCCGTTCGCGGAGAGGCCACTTCCGATGGCCCGCCCTTGTACCGTCCTGCTGGGACGCAGAATGCAACATCGGGCGTGGCTGTGCAGGCCGGGACGCAGAAAGATAACGAGATGTTGAGACATTGTTGAGGGGGAGAAGGGAGGAGCGCCCATCTTTGCACGTCGTTTGCTTTGATTTTGTTTTTGGAGATCTCGGAATCTCGGGAAAAGCATATATCTCCTAGAAAATCAAACAATAAAGTGCCGGACAAGTACTTTGGCAAACACGGTTCGCAGAAAGCAGCCTCGTCCGTTTCATCATGAATTTGTGATCAAAAAGAAATCAAATATGTGTTCCGTCAGAAATCTCAGGACGCCCAACAGCCAGAACTTTCCAATATACAAATTCAAGGGAAAGAAGAGAAAGCAAAACTGTATAACGTAGTGCGACTTAATAGTGCGACTTAAGCTTCTGTCGTTTGCACATTCGTCCTCAGAGCCGGCTTCCGCTCCGACCTTCCCATTCGATCCGACCTTCTCGGCGTAGAGGGGGCAGTAATAGTCTGTGGTCGTCAAGCTTCTTTGACCGCCTCTGCTCCTTCTCTTCTGCTCTGACAAGACAATTGATACGCACAAATAAAAGAAGCCATGGCTCGAACAGAAAGCCGAGCGGTTCCCGCATTCACACAGTCTGGCGTGGGTCGAAAGGGGAAGCCAAGAAAAAGTGCAATTGCAACGCTCTTGGCACCGTTTGCCTCCCTTGGCGCCGAGATTCATCTTATCAAATTGCACATGAGGTATCGAACTATGAAGCAATCAAGGAAAGTACGGCATACCGAGTAGAAATCGGACGCATCTTGTGAAAAGCGGAAACCAGACTACTCGTTTACAAAACCGAGCTCCAAGAACATTCAGATGACCAGTACTTACAACATACAAGGAATGGATGTTGGGTGTTGAATTCTCCCTTTGTAGACTCAAAACATAGGCTCCACCAACATTGCAATTACCATGCTTCGTCTATAAAGTTTATGAAATAAACGCTCACGCAAATTCTCTTTTACAAACTCACCGCTTCCCACCCAGATCTGTACAACATATATCACCACACACCGACAAAGCAGGACATTTGAAGGTCTTTTTTGAATTGTGAATGGTGGTCGTTGGCCGTTATCGACAAAGTGGAGTTGGAGCGTGGCAGTGCTGGCCCAAACAGTCCGTTTTACTCCTTTTTTCCCCATCTCCATCTGTCCGTCCTCGCGTCTTGTTTCCACACTCTAGCTCAAAATGGCTCGAAATGGCTCGAAACATATACTGAGTATATGACGATTGCACATGGACGACTGACGCAGGCTTTTTCAGTCCGCCTTTGCCATGCATTGCTGAACTTTATCGTGGTAATTTGTCGATTCTGCGCTTTTGTAATGCTCACTTTTTTTTACATCACGCAACTGCCAAGACAGTTACCGGCCAAACACCTCACAGGGTCAGGCAAGCAGGAACACTCGTGAGTTGAGCGATTCGAAAAGGACTGCTCACAGGGAGCTGCGGGAGATGAGTAAGAAGCATGCCTATCAATGAACTGGGGCCAGGCCCGCGAGGACATCATCTCCGTTTTGCCAAACTTGTTCAAGGGACCCCTAAGAACTACAACTAACAAGGAGAAGATAAGTGCATATGGCTAGGCCGTGGTTGACCTTGCCCTGGGCCATTCCAACCCTGGCTCAAGCAGCGATCATGTTTTCTTCTCTGGCTCTCTCCCAAACCTCTCCTTGGCTTGTTTCTCCATTCCCCCCTTCTTCCGGATCTACTTCATTTCCTTCTTCCATGGAACAATTCTTTTTTTCCCTCATTTTCTTGCAACGTTTGATGAATGATGAAATGATAAAATGATTCAACATGCCACGGCTCGGCAACGGCTCCACCGGCAGAGTGGGCGGGAAGAATTTCTGCTGCTTCTGAAGGTCTCCCATTCGCATTTCATTTTCATTTTCCACTTTTTCCATTTTGCTCTTCCCCAATTTCCGTCAGTCACGGAACTTGGCCAGTGCCAATATGAATACATAACAAGCGTCGACACGTCAACACGTCGACCATCGCAAATCTTCTTATGACGGCGTAGAAAAGGAAGTACGAATACGGCGCAAGCGAGGGCAACGAGAGAAATTGCAAAGATGTTCGACGCCCGACAGCCTGCTGCACGCACGTCTTCAAACTCCGCTGCGGCGTCACTATCTGACAATCAATCGAGACGCCATGGAATCTTGTCGATGAGGTAAAACAGGTTGGGCCGATACATCAGACGCTTGGCTGCATCTTCAATGCATTTGGATAGATCGCCTTTCTTAAGTTTTCCTTCTTGCACAGCCTTCCTTCTGGAGACAAATGGAGTAAGAAATGCGTCGTACATCCATTGCGTGTGTCGGTGGTTGGGCTCGTCGTACGTCAGGTTGTCGCCGTCAGGGCCTGGGAACCAAGCCCGACTTCAATGCCCTGGTCGCCTCAGAGAAGCAGTACTTACATGAAGCGGTTAACATCGGTACCCCCATGATACATGGCCAACAAAAGAGGATCCAAAGTCTTGATTAAATTTTCTCTAAAACCTAAACCAAACGCCCTGCAGCGCAACAAACGCCTGCCCATTCCGTGCCCTGTTCTCCAAATGCCAACGCCCGTGACGCGTGTCGCAAACCATGTTTCCGCGAATGGAACAACATGTGCTTCTACCGCCTGCCAAGTGACACGTCCTTGACCAACACCAGCCCCCCGAGATCGCTGGCCGTCTCACCTTGGTCATCATGACCATCGTCACCACTGCCTCTTCCAAACACCTGGCGTCGTACCACGAGGCGCAGCGTGTCTTGCCAGAACTGCGCCACCACGTCCTGGAGTCCGGTGCCTGTCTGGCGGAAGTCGGGGAACGCGTTGACCTCGAGCAGCCAGGCCGTCGGCGACGGGGATGGCGATGCGTCCGTCGACGACGAGGCACTCACGAGAAAGTCGAGACCGTAGACTTCAAAGGCGTGGCCCAGAGGCTGGAAGTGGATGGGCGCGGCCACGGCAGCGGCCTCAAAGGTTTCGCCGGTGACTCGGCAAATCTGGTCAAAGATGGCGTCTTTGATGGCGTCGTTGACGCTGCAGCCCTCCGGCTCCTCCAGATCCCAGAACCGCCTTACCGAGTCGCCCTTGTCGGCCTCGTCCTGTAGACACGTATTGGTCAGGTGCGCCGCCAGATCGGGGCTGCCCTCGTGGCCCTCCTCACCATCGCCTCCTGCACCACCCTCCGTCTCCCAGGGCGGCGTGTACGCCTTGGCCGCAAACAGTGCCAGCATGTCCCGGTGCACGTACACGCGCAGCGCGCCCACGCACAGCACATAGACGCGGATGTGGAACTTGCGCCCGTTCGTGCCCGGCAGCAGCAGCGGTGGGTGGATGTATGGCTGCGCCACAAAGTGCCGTAGGTCGGCGGCCGCCACCGCATCGTTGTGGTCGTCGTCGTCGTCGCCGAAGCCCTCCTCGCCGGCCTCCTCTTGCTCCGCCTCCCAGCCGTCAAAGATGCCCTGCAGGCCCTCCATGGTGCTGAAGAGCCGGATGCCCTGGCCGCGGTCGCTCATGCTGGGCTTGAGGATCCACCACTGGCGACTGGCGTCGTCCTCGCAGTCTTCGTTGGCCGCGAGGCTCGCGCGCAGGTCAAACGCCTCGACCAGCGCGTCGTCCAGGAACTCGGCGTAATCGACCTCGAACGTCTCCGTGCGCTGGACGTGCTGGGCGAGTACCGACTGCGGGCGCTTGGCCACCCACTGCTCCACTGTATTGGCCAAAAAGTGCTTGCGAATCAGGGCCTTGCGGATGATGTAGCTGTTGATCACAGTTGATGCGGCGTGGCGGGCGGCGTAGTCAAAGTCGATGACTTCGTACGGCGTGAGTTGCAGCACCTTTGAGGTCGCCTCCGTCTTGTGAACGACGTCGTCCACAAGTCCCTGCAGGGATACCGGCTCGGCAGCCGTCGGCAGTGTGGCTCCCGGCGCTGCCTCCAACAGATGTAACTGACTTTCCGGGATGGCAGCCTTGAGCGCGTCCAAGATGATGGGCTGGACGTAGGGGTCCTCGTAGGCGACGAGGGCATAGAGTGTCTCGTTGGACGCAATGGGTACTGATGGTGTTGGCGCCTTTCCCTGTGGCTCCTTCTCTGTTATGGACAGACTTTGTATCGGTACACCTGCGACACTAGTTGACTCCTGTGGTGCAGGACGGTCCCTGAAGGTCGGCTATTAGTGATACGATCCGCTTGAAAAACAAAACAAGGCAAGCAAAGTAACAATGCAATGCAGCTCGGTTATCAACAGCACTCCGGAGGAGAGGATCCGAGAGAGAGAAGAGGTAAAGAAAAGAAAAAAAAAATCGATTGCGTCTATACCTGTCTATAGAGCTAGAGCCTCCACACGATACTTGTTGTTCCTCTCTCCGGTCTGTGAACTGTATCCCAAGGTTATATATACACAAAAGCGTGGTCCAAGAAGACTTGGGCTCAAATAAATGAAACGGTATATAGGAGAGGTCATGACGCAGACAAATAAGGAAATAAATACAATTGAAAACAAATGAACCTCGAGATAACGAATGGCCGGGGGAAAGAAGCTGGTATACTCACAGGCGGAACTCGGTCTGGTGCAGCTTGGTTGCCGTCTGAAAGAAGTTTGCTTTGAGTGGTGTTATGCTGCTGGCGTTAGTCGACTGCAAGTTAATATAAAAACAGGACTATCTAGCAACCGGAGACGTACCTTGTCAGACCTTCCCGCACGGCCCAGCCGTCGTTGCCGGGCGGCGCTTCGTCCACACTGCGGTAGACATCGGAGAATTGCGGCTGCCACTTGAAGTGGCGGTGCGTGATGGGTGCCGTAGGGCCGTGGCCGGAGCTAGCACCGGAGGCTGCTGCTGCTGTTGCTGTTGTTGTTGCTGCGTTTGATGTTTGCGTAGCTACGTCTGGTCTTTCTGATGCTGACGCCGCCTTATTGGCGGTCTCGCCATGGGTCTGGCTAGTGCGGAGCCGCTCCTCTTCCACATCCGTGGCGCCGCTGGCCGCGTCCTCGACCACGTCCTCGACCACGTCCTCGGCCACGAAGCACCCGCCCTCGCTCCAGTAGTTCTGCAGGATGCCCGCGTACACCGTCTTGTGCGTCGACACACCCGCGACCAGCGGCACATTGACGCTGTACAGGTCGACACTGTCGGCGCTGTCCCGCGGCACGTCCTTGGGCCACTGGCGGTAGAGCGCCTCAATGACGCGCACGGCATGGCGGCTGGCCTCAGCAATGATGTCGCGGTCGTGATTGCGGCTGAAAAACGCGTAGCTCAGTGCAATGGCGGGCTTGTTGCAGGTGGCGGCTTCGAGAGCGCCGCCGAGCGTGCCGGAGCTTAGGGCAAAGACGGCCGTCGTGTTGCGGCCGTAGTTTGGGCCCGAAACAACCAGGTCAATGGGTGGGCGCTCTTTGAAGACGTGGAACAGGCCAATCTGGACGCACGATGCCGGGGTGCCGTTGACGAGGACCCATTCCTCGGGCGCCTCGTCCGAGCTGCCGTTGGTGCCGGCGTTGCTATTGCCGTTTTGGCGGAACGGCCGCGTGTGCACGGTGCCAGCATTGCCGGGCTCGCCTTCCGCTTGGGTGATCCCTGCCGGTAGACTTGACCATGGCGGCGGGCGGTAGTAGGTGGGCTCGACGGTCTGGCCGATGATGTGCGCCTTGCCGATCCAGGAACGCTGCGTGTGCGGCAGGCAAACAGACACCAGGTGGCCGGCCTGCTGCAGCTCGCGCACGAGGCTGTGGACGTACGGCGACGAGTGCGTCGACGGTGGACCGTCGTCGTTGACGATGAGGATATGCATGGCGAAGCCGAACTTTGCGACGTGAGGCCCCGATGCTCGGGACGAAGAGAGAGCGTGGCGACAGAGAATCGAGGCGAGGGCTGGAGGAGAAAGCGGGAAACGAGAGAACGAAAGGGCAGAAAAGAATGCCAAAAGAGAAAGCCACAACAGCAAGCCCAAAAGAAATCGGACGGGGTTAGATGGTAGTTGTACGAAAATAGCAGTCTCGGACGCAGCCGCAGGGTCACAATGGCACGCGGTCACGTTGGGCTCGGTTGAAAATCGTCAGTGTTGTATGTGCTGTTGGAGGAGTATGAAAAAATTGGAGAGCAACAAAAAGAGGTCCAATGCCGAGATGCTAGCTCCGGTCTAGGAGCGGAACTCGCTCAGGCAAGCTGTGGCATAAGCTACGATTGCAGGCACTTACTGGAGGCCACTGCAAACTGCCTAAGCAGTAAAATAGCGCCCAGTTGGTTGCCTTGTGCGGACTCATGATACAAATACGGAAGCAACGACAGCGTCACGGGGACTAAAAAGTCGAGGCAAGTATTCCGGGGCGGGGCACCCAACAGAGGGCGGAAGGCGCGATTCGCTTCAATAAAACGGGAAGGAGCTTGAGACGGAGGGGGCGACCAGCAAGGGACATGCGTACCGGCCAGGACCCGAGCACCGGGAAATGACGATAACTACGGCGAATATGGCAAGGAGGAAAGGAGGGGGCGGACCCTCTCTATGGAACAAAAGAGGAATTTCAAGCCAACCTTTGAACGCCATTCAAGGCTTCATTATTCATGGATTCTGCATCTGCGTACTGTACTTGGCGGCCACATGCGCTGTAGATGGACGCGCTCTGAACCCGGTCCACAGCTGCCAAGATGATACCAGCATGGCTCGATCCTCGGTCTCGTCACACCGTCCATCGTCCAATCAAAGTTTGCAATCATTTTCTTTATATTATGTACACAGTTGCATGCTGCTCCGACTTACAACTTGGCCTTGTCTGTCTCGTTGGCCCGCTCGAGGATCTTGGTGTCCCACCACGGCCACTCCACGGGGCCGTCCTCCTCCATTGTCCCCTGGAAGTTCGGTGCCCGCTTCTCCAGGAAGCTCGCCATGCCCTCCTTCAGGTCCCGGTTCTGGAACCGCTGGAACAGCAGGCTGCTCTCTAGAAGGTGTGCCTCTTCCGGCGTGCTCCCGCCGTGGTGCAGCATGTCCTTCATCACGCGCGTGCTTACCGGGCTCGTGTTGGCCGCAATGTCCTCGGCCAGGCCCAGCGCCGTCGGCAGCACCTTGTCCGGGTCAACAATCTCGGCGAACAGCGGCGACAGCATCTTGTGGGACGCCGGCAGCGCACTGCCCGTGGTCGTCAAGTAGGCGGCGGCTGCGTGGCCCACCAGGCGCGGCAGAAAATACGACGAGCAGGCCTCCATGACCAGGCCGCGGCGCGCAAAGACAAACCCATATTTGCCCTTGTTGCTGGCCACCCGAATGTCGGCGGGCAGCGTCATGGTGATGCCGACGCCGACGCCGCTGCCGTTCATGGCGGCAATGACGGGCTTGCGGCAGTGGTGGATGGCGAGCGACACGGCACCGCCCAAGTCGCGGTGGTTGGAGCGGGTGTCGCCGCCCGTGTTGAAGCCAATGTCGAGGTCGGCGCCGGCGCAGAACGTGCGGTTGTTTGTCATGTCGCTGCCGGTAAGGACAACGCAGCGGACGCGCGCATCGCGCGACAGCAGACCGAACGCTGTGATTAGCGAGCGGGCCATGTCCGCGTTGAAGGCATTATGGGCCTTGGGGCGATCGAGGACCACGAGAACAATGGGTGTGACGGCCGGGCTCTTTGCAGGGTGGTGCTGGAATCGAATATCTGGGAGGTGGAAGGTCTCATAGTTGTCTGGCAGCGGAATGTCAGCTACCGGCGTCGTGTTTTTGCGCTCGTAGCTCATTTTGTGTGTTGTTACTGTGATAGATCTCAGCTGCCTGGTTCAATACATCAGTTTGCTTCCTTCTTTCGCAATTGTCGTCTGTTCTTTTTGTCGGTCGTAAATGTCTGGCGCGTTGTGAGCTGTCAGGGCGTAGCTCACCTTATGAGGCGCCATGAATTCCCCAGACCGGCACAGCCTAGCTTCCCCGCGAGACGCTAACTTTCCTGCCGAGGTCATTTCTCCACCAGCACGCTGACTCGGCTGTCAAGGTTGATTCTGATCAACTTTCGTGATTAGTATTACAAAATAAGCATCATACGTCGGCAAGGGTGAAGGCGCGGTCAGGCTAAGTTTAATGTGTCATGTGAATATTCAATGTTTGTTATCCATGGTGACGAGTATTGCAGTCCAACATCTTTTAACAATTTCTATTGCTTAATGACAAAACATGATTTTTTATTGTTTCGCTCTGCTCTCGAGACAGTGCTCTGCACAGAATGCAACATTGCTGCATTATTTACATTGTCCCCTTTACATGAACTTGCTCGCCATACCCAGCAGGCTGCCCATGCCGCCCGAGCCGCCCGAGCCGCCCTGGCTCTTCATGTACATCTTCAGGGCCATCTCACCGGCCTTTTGCACGGCTGACTCCTTGCTGGCACCCGAGGCCACGTTGCCCTGCGAGCTCTGGCTATCAAACAGCTTGCTGGCCTGGCTCATGGCCATGCCGATAAACTGGCTCTGGCTGCTGCCACCACCGCCGCCGCCGCCGCCGCCGCCGCCCGAAGTGAACGTCTTGAGCGCCTGAATGGCCGCGGCGCTGCCCATACCGCCAGCGGTCGCCTGGCCGCCGCCGCCGCCGCCGCCACCGTAGTACTGCTGGTGGTGCTGAACAGCCGCTGGACAAGAAGTGTTAGTATTATGTGTACCTCAGAAAAAAGTTGCAGTGTGTAGCCACGTAGGGATGTTACATACCGCCCTCGTCGAGGTCCTCGTTGGCGAGGCTGTTCTTGTTGCCGCCAATCTTGTTGAGGATGTCGGCGAAGAAGTTGGGGCTGTCGCCGTCGCCGCTGTGCTGGGCTGCGGCGTGGGCCGCGCCCTTCAGGTCGTCGTCGTCATCATGGTTGTAGTTGCCTCCGCCGCCACCATACTGCTGTTGGCCACCGCCGTAGTCCTGGCGGCCATACTCCTGCTGACCGCCGCCGTAGCCGCCGCCCTGCTGGCCACCGTACCCGCCCTGCTGGCCACCGTATCCGCCCTGCTGACCGCCGTATTCACCCTGCTGCTGGCCGCCGTAGCCGCCGTGATGACCGCCCTGGCCTGTTTGTGACGAGACACGTATTAGAAAATATGTCGACGAAGAAGTCTTTTGGATGCTCACATGGAGAGCTGTCAAGAGATGTATTGAGTGCCATGGGAGAGCTTTAAACTAACCGCCGCCGCCGTATTCTGCGAAGCATGGTGTTAGCAGCGCATCAGACAATAAACGCCAGCCGCAAGACGACGGAGCAAACAATACGAGTATAGGAGTCGAGCATGGACGCTGTCTTCTTCTCAATGTCCAAACCTTAGGGGCGAAGGCAAGAATACTTACGCTGGCGTCCGTTGTTGTTGTCGTCACCGCCCCACATTTTCAGATAGATCGATCTGGGAGCTTCTGGTAGATTGGAAGATGGAATGCTGCAGGTGTTGAGGATTCGTTGCAAGAGACGGAGCAGCTTGAAACGAGAAGAGGAGACAGAGTGAAAAGATACCAACGAAACAAGTGGAGTTTCGAAGCAAGAGGGGCAATTCGAGAAAGGGCGCGATGGGCGACATTAATACTGTTGGGTCCCTCCTTCCCCTTGGTTTTCTTTTTGCGACTTCCTTCATCATTGGGCTGTCCATAAGCGCCCCTTCCCCACCTCATTCGGCATGGTTGATCGCTCCTGCCATGGAAAACAAACGCTTGGAAAACTAACGAGCTAAGCTACGCTGTGGGAGCTTCGAGCTACGAGCTACGACGGTACCTCATTGGAGAAGGACCGTAGGGGAATGTGACTAGGTGGGTTTCGAAGGTAGGAAAGAGAAACAAATCTGTAGGGAGGCAGCGAAGGTCGGCCAATTGGCTTTGGATGGGGCTGAAACGAACTGGGAAGACGCGGCATCGACCGTGGAATAATGACGTCTGCGGGGCTCCTCCCTTTGTTTTCGACCCCCCCAAGGGCGGGCTGTTAAGGTGCATTACCTGGAAGCCATGAAGCCAACGAAGCCATTGAAGCCGTTCGAAAACGACGAGTGAGCAGAGCTCTTTGACTTCACCCTCGTGCTTCGTGCAGTTGCCTCTCCGAGGAGTGACGGCGCGGAGACTGGGGAGCCCAAAGTGACAAGGTAGCATTCGATGTGTCCCGTCGCCCCGTCCATCTGACCTTTAGGGATTTGCTGGCAGAAAGTGTCTTGGCAACGACGCAAGTTGATGAGCCATAATGCAGTTGAGCGGACGAGTCGAACGAGCCGAGCGAGTGCAGAGATGAGAAGGCGGGCAGGAGGAGACAGGCGGATCCTGGTCGAGCTGAAAAGGTTCGGCAAGGAGCTAGGCCAAGCTGTGTGCAAGGTTCCAAGTGGATTAACCAAAAAGAACGATGAATGAGGGGCACGTTCAGATCCGAAGGGCTGAAAAGAGCTGGCAAGCTGCAAGACGCCGCGTATACACTTTTCGGTCAAGGGTGCCACGAGTTGATAACTGTAGTTACTGGAAGCACCCATCACATTCAAGGTTTGCAAAATGCACAATTTATGAAAGGCATTCAGAAAGAGGAAGCCGGGGGTGCGGAACAGAAATTAAAATTTTGAAAAAAGAAATAAGAAAGAACGAAACCTTCTTCTATGCTAAAACCAACATCGTGTTCTCTTGATCCGGCCGTTCCATATTTCCCAGGCCATTGAGTGTAACAAACATGAGAGAAAAACAACCAAAACGTCCGTGTATGTATATGAGTCGCAAAACAAAGCAGAAGCAATGTGTCAAACCAAAACCAATTTAGCAAAGCCAAAACCAAAAAAAAAAAAAAAATGACGAACCCGCACCGAACCAATGACCTTGTATCGTGTACCCAAGGCTTCCGTATGCAAATAAAATACAAAATGACAGCAGCAAAAGTAAAAAAAAAAAAAAGACCATGAGGAAAACATGTCATCTCGTAACGTGACACTTTTATACATTACTCCGTGCGTCGTGGCGACCCGCCGCCGGAAGCGTTGACGGGCTCTGCCGCGTTTGCCACGCCGACGCCCCCCAACACTCCAGCCGCCGCCGCCGCCTTTTTCTTTTCGCGCTTTTCCTTCTTGGCCCAGCGCAGACCGCAGGCATTGCACAGCGTCTTGGGGCCGCTGGGGCCCTTGCGCCATTCTGGCGACTCCAGGGTGCCTGGGAAACCATGTTAGCTATGCTCAACGATCGATAAGCAGACAAGGAGAGTACCTACCACAGTCGGTGCAGACATATTCTTCGGCGAGACGCGCCTTCTTTTTCTTGTCACCGGTCCGCTGGTCGCGGTTCACCGAAAACGCAATGCCTGCATCGCCCTTGATGAGCCGCGGGCTGCGGTTGCCCGTGGACAAGCCGCGACTGCGCTCGCCTTCCTGGTACCGCAGGCCCGTGAGCATTTCAATCGCGTCGGCCGTCGAGGCCATGGGCAGTCCGGCTGCGGCCGCAGCATTGCTACCGCTGGACGGCCCAGCCATACCAGCGCCTGCCAGTCTGCCGCCACCGGACAGCGGTCCGCCGTCCGCACTCGTGGAGGCTCCCGCCACCATCGAGCCAGGCGCTGCTGCTGTGCTCCCTGCGCCGGTCGTGGCCTTGCCTGTGCCCGGTGCGCCCTCGTAGCGAGCCATCTTATCTCCCAACGAGTCGGCGGGCCGGGCGGCAATGCCTTCGAGGTTCTCGCGCGTCAGTGCGACATTGTTTGGCCCGCCTCCTCCTGGCATCATGGCGAGCTTGAGTGGTGCCATTGGTGGCGGCATGGACATGCTGTCGTTGGTGATGTTGTTGTTGTTATTGTTGTTGTTGGCGCCGTAGATAGAATTGTTTGCTATAGCACTAGCCATGGCGGATCCCATCACAGCGGCGGCCGCGGCGCTAGACGTGGCCATATAGGACGGTGCATCCGTGTTCTGTCGCCAGACCCAGCTCTGGCTCTGCGTGTGCGATTCGTCGTCGCGGTCTTCAGACGCCTCCTCGCGCCGCAGGTCGTCGATTCGACGTCGTAACCGCTCGTTCTCCATCTTGTGCTCGAGGAACGAGTCCAGTAGGTGGGAGTTCTTCGTCGGGTACTCCCGGCACATGAGGAACACGGCCTGGCAAAAGGGTGTCTTGTTGGACGGGTTGGACGCAAAGCGCGAGGTGGCAATGTGGGCGTGGCCGGCCATGTCGACAATGACGTAGTCGCCGTCCTTTTTGCGCAGGCGCACAAACATGCGCAGGCTGCTTGCATTGGCGATGCATGCGTTGAGGTCGGCGATGAACACAGAGCGGTCGTCTGGGTGCGTCAGCTCGGTCAACGACTGGCCCGCAATCTCGTCGGGCGTGTAGCCCAGGATCGAGGCGACATTGGGCGAAGCATAGCGGATGCGGCCGTTGGGCTCGATGATCTGCAGCAGGTCGGTGAGCTCCTCGACGACCTTGGCCGGCCAGTTCTTGCGCCGTGTGAACTCGGTCAAAGCGCCACCCCCAGCCGGCCCGGCACCAGCGGCACCGCCGGCTGCACTGCTGGGCCCACCGCTCGTAAAGCTGTCGAGAGGCATTGGGCCGCCACCAGGCTCGTTGACGCCGCCCATAACGACGTTGCCATCGACACCATCTTTGTCTTGTTGCTGTGGGAGACTGTCGTCGGTCGTATTGCCGTTGATTTGCATACCGATGTTGATGCTGATATGGTCACCATTGGCCGCTGCGCGCATCGAGCCATAGTCGAAAGGCAGCGATGCTGTGGTGGACTGTGATGGCAGAGCCTGTGATGGTGGAGGCGGAGGGAACATGGATCCTGGCTGGTGCGGCGCGAGGCCAGAGGACATGTCCTCGAAGCTGTCGAAGAAGGTGACCGGCTGCTCATTGAAAAACATCATCATGGCATTGTCCGTTGCTTGTTGTAGTTGTTGTTGCTGCTGCTGCTGCTGCTGCTGTAGTTGCTGTAGTTGCTGCTGCTGTTGCTGCTGTTGCTGCTGTTGCTGTTGCTGCTGTTGCTGCTGTAGGTGCTGTAGTTGCTGCTGCTGCTGCTGCTGCTGCTGCTGTTGCTGCTGCTGCTGGAATTGCGCAGCCACTGTTGCCATGGCGGCCGCGGCCTGATCGTTGGCCATCACGGACGCTCCGCCATCGCTTCCGGTCTGGCCGTTGAAGGCGAAGAAGTCGCTCGCGAGTGGCGGTGGTCCGTGGGACATGGCTGTGCGAGTGGAGGCGGAACGAACCTACGCCGTACGGGCAGGCGAAGAGTGAGAAAGGTAACGCAAGGGACCACACTGGGAGTGGTGTCAGGGCGGCGAAAGGTGGTGCAACTGTGCCGATGCAGAACGCCAGAGCCGGTGACTGAACGAGGGCACGAAGCGGGGCCGGTACATGCTATGCGGCATCGAGACGTGGGGTAGACACCCCTGGGCAGTGACAGCCAGACGAACCGGTGACAGATGACGTTGGACTTGGGCGCGTGCAGACGACAGACCGGTCGTGATCTCCAATTAAGCGTTGATAGTGAGCTGCTCGTGACCTGTTCCTCAGAGATTGAATGCCGTCAACGGTGACGATGAGGTGGACGAATGAAGAAGAGGGAAAACCAAGAGTCATTTAAATAAAAGAAAAAAAGAGAAACTTATAAAGAGAAAAGAGAAAAGAAAAAAAAACGAAGATCCGACAGGAGAAAAGAAAACTGATCAAAGGTCGTTGTTTAGAAAATCATGGTCCATTGAGTATATCCACTTCGCGCTTTGGTCTGGTTCTGGTCTTTGGGGAGGTGCTGTGTGGGGGGAGGGGCGGAAAGTTCCCCACCCTCTTCTCATTGGCTGCAGGAGCTCACACAGCGAAGAGGCACAAAGAATATCGAGGAACCAGAGAGCCCAGAACCAGACCCTGGCGCGCCTCTCCCGTCTCGGGCTAGGGAGCTTGTGAGATCATCCAAGGAAAGTTGCTGCTTGGCGTAGTGCGTGGGTGGTGACCCTGGCGGGGATGCAACTATGCGTTGTGCGTTTTCGGTGGGCTCGCCTGATGCAGTCTCGGAACGAGCGACTGATGTACATTCGTACTCGTCCTAATTCCTTGGTTCTGCAGGCTTTTGACGTGTGGATTGCGCAGTAATTATTATTTCATAGTGCTGTGAAGGCTGTGTCACCGAGCATGTCTGCCCCCCCCAAGACAGGTACTAGCGCACCTTGCTGTGGGTGCCGTACAGCGGTGGAAATTGCACAGCGGTGCACTGGGGATGTCTAGTGGGGTGTGACCCTGGAGCATATGAACCGAGCCGGTGACTGCTAGGCTCGTTCTTGCCAGAGTAAAAGGTTCTTTCTTATGTCATAATTGACTACGGCTTTCGATGTCGCTGCTCCTGCCTTCGACTTTTCTTCGTCCGAAGAATTCGATTGAGCAAGTGGGGTCTCCGAGTCTTTA